GGTGTGGTTTTGATTGCATGTTTATGGCTGCCATCTTGATTTTTTGACATGGCTAAAAAGGATTGGGGCTTAATCACAGAGTTATGACCATCAACTTGACTTTTTTTTTTGATGCCCTTCCCTCTAAATAAGTTTTTGGAGAAGTGACTGCTCAAATATTTATTTCTCTCCAATTGGAAATTTACAGAAAAAGATCAATGAATGGAGTTGGTTAAGAAAATTGGCTATGAGGAGCAGGGAGGTTTAAAAATAGAACATCATCAAAATCTCTCGGTCTTAAAATGCTGTAGAAAGTTTTGTTTGTATCTCTGCAGGCATGTATGACTAAAAAATAAATATCTCAATTGCATTAAGAGCCAGTTTGATCTAGTGGTTAAAGCATCAGGCTAGAATGCAGGAGATTGTGAATTCTAGTTTGTCTTATCCATGAAAGCCAGCTGGGTGACTTTAGCTAGTCATTCTCTCTCTGCCCAACCTGCCTCACAGGGCTGGTGTTGTGGGGAAAATAGGAGGGGGAAGATGTGTTGTATATGTTTTCCACCTTGAGTTATTACTAGTAAGTGATAAAGGTGGAATACAAATAAATAAATAATCTATCCTTTAACACAAGAGTCTTCAAACTTGGCAATTTTAAGACTTGTGGACTTCAACTCCCAGAATTCCCGAGCTAACATGACTGGAGGAGGAATTCTGGGAGCTTAAGTCCACAAGTCTTAAAACTATCAAGTTTGAAGACCCCTGCTTTAACAGAAAGCTATTTGTACAGCTTCTTCAAATCTCTCTGTCTACCATCCCTGAGGGTGCTGCTGAAATTCTGTAGCAAAATGTACATGCTTTGTCTTAATTCTCCCAAGCTTGCAAAATTCCAAAAAAGAAAGAGCCAAAGATTGCACTGCTGCTCTGATCCTTGTAGCCTTCAAACTGAAGGAAAGAGGGAGAAGAAACGAGAAAAGCCCTTCCTAAAATTATGGATATCACTCTTTGATTTACATCAGTCCCACAGTTAAGGAAACTTCCCTGCTTTTTATTTCATATACAGCAAACAAAAGACTCGAAAACTTCTTATCCTTGAGCCACAGTGGCACAGTGGTTAGAGTGCAGTATTGCAGGTTATTTCTGCTGTCTGCCGGCTGCCTGCAATTTGACAGTTCAAATCTCACCAGGCTCAAAGTTGACTCAGCCTTCCACTCTTCCAAGGTGAGTAAAATGAGGACCCAGATTTTTGGGGCATCATGCTGACTCTGTAAACTGCTTAGAGAGGGCTGTAAAGCACTGTGAAGTGGTATAGAAGTCTAAGTGCCATTGTCATTCTCACTTTCCTAATAACATGATATGCCTTCCTTTCCTTTTCCAAATAAATGGTTACTACAATGAGGTTCCCCAAATTCCCCAATGTTTTTTGTTTCTCTTCCCCCCACCCCCACCCCACCCCCAAAAATTCATGGCCAGTCAGATCCAACAGCTTCCAAGAGAATTTGAGAATGTATTTGCACTGCACACTTATCCATGCTTGTAAATGAAACCAGCTTTGCCAATGTGGTAAGCCATGTGCATCCATAAAAACAAACCTAGTCAGGATTAAATTATGTTTAACATGCTGTGCAGATTTGTGACTGGATGCAATCTGAGACACCAATAGGTCTGTTGACTTAGACAACCAAGTGGAAAGGAAGGGATGTTTATCCATTTTCTGTCTTGATTTCTTTTAGGATATTATTATTATGGTTGGTCACACAATCAGCCAGATGTTTAGAATGGATTTGACATTTTTGTCCACCTAGCGAGGCCTTCCTAAGGACCTGGAATAGGCAAACCCTGTGTTATTATTTTTTATTATTATTATGGTTCGTTGCATACTTTTAGATTGCATTTGTCATCATTATCCACAACTGATTCTTTCCCAAGGACCTGAGATAGGCAGTTGATGGTGTTAAAAGTATCATGAGGACCCAGATTGTTGGGGGCAATATGCTGACTCTGTAAACCACTTAGAGAGGGCTGTAAAGCACTGTGAAGCGGTATATAAGTCTTAGTCAGGAGTCTCAAACTCAAGTCCCACAGGCTAGATTTGGCCTGTGGGATACTTAAATCTGGCCCATGGAGCTGACCTGGACATAGCAAAGCCTCTGGCACCCCATTTTTGGCCTGGATGGCCTCCTGCAGCACTCTGGCAGCCAAAATGCAATATGTGCCCCCCATGCCCCGTTTTGGCTAGCAGGATGCTGCAGGGGGCCATCCAGGCTGAAAACGGGGCACAGGGGGGGGCTCACATGGGGACACCATGCCCTGTTTTGGCCACCAGCCCCCTGTTCCCCATTTTGGATGCCAGAGGTGCTGCAGATGTCCATCCTATCTCTCACCCTGGCCAGCCCACAGAGGAGAACTACAATGCTGATCCGTCCCTTGAGGAAATCCAGTTTGACACCCCTGGTCTAAGTGCTAAGTCCTATTGCTATCATCGCAGGATGTAGGCTGTTCCTAGTAAAGCTGCATTTTGCAATTGACTGATGGTGAATATCTCAGTTCTGGTGGTGTTCAAGTGGTGTTTTGGGATTGCATCCAAAATGCCTATTACGATTGATACCACCTTTGCTTTCTTTTGCCAGAGTCATATTATTATTAATAATTATATTGCAACTACTACAACTATTATTTCGCTTTGGTGCTCTTAAGGATTTTCAGATCCCAATCTTGAGAGTACAATGTCCATTTTATATCTTGCCTTCAGAGGTGATCACCGGTAAAAAAACCAACAACAACTCAAGATGGTGGCCACAACCATGCAATCAAAGCCCCGCCCCTTTTTACTTGCATCCTGATTGCCATCTTGACTTTTCTGGCATCCCTTCCCCTGTGGATGCTCTCTCTACCTGCCAGGGTTCCCTCCAAGGAGTTCAGAGCAGAGGTGGAATTCAGCAGGTTCTGACCAGTTCTGGAAATTTAGCAGAAATTTTGAGCAGTTTGGAGAACTAGCAAATACCACCTCTGATTGGAGATTTTACAGTATCCTTCTCTTGCCACACCCACCAAGCCACACCCACAGAACCGATAATAAAAAAATTTGAATCCCACCACTGGTTCAGAGGGTCAAATCGAGGGCCATTCGCCATCCTCCCTTTACCTGTAAGGTCCAGCGGAGGGCAGAGGGCCATTGCAGTGGGTCTTGGTGTCATCATTTTTGCAGGATGATTCATTGCCGACCCGGAGCACGTTCGTCGCTTTGCCTTTAGTACATGGGTATTGGGAGAGGGTGGACTTCATTGTCATGAAGGAGAAAGTGGTATATAAATCTTCGTACGGTGGAATTTTGTCTATGGATGTGGGGTTCTGGAAGTTAGTTGTGGCTGTGGGGAGGGCACATGTAAAAACAAGGCAGGGAGAGTCACCTAGAGACGTATTCGTCTTATCAAAAATCAATGGTTTAATAGCTCATCCATCTCATATGAACCCTGTTAGGCCCATAGCTTGGGGAACCTGCCATTTACCCAGCATATGGCTTCCAATAGACAGCCAGATGCCTCCCAGATACTAATTCCAACACTTGAAAGCAATCAATCTTTTCCAGTTGTTTTCTTCTTAACAAGCCACAAAGATGTTAAAATTGCTCCCGCAGTAATTAATCCACTGTGTTTTAATCAATTAATCTATTTATGGAAACCGTCGAAATGTGCACCTCACCTTTTGACTCTGTCAAACTATCTATTAACTTGCCATAATTACTGCTTAGCATTCAAGCCCCACACAGTGTTTCTCAGCCATGGCGACTTGAAGAAGTGTTGGACTTCAATTCCCAGAATTCCTCAGTCAGCATGAATTCTGGGAATTAAAGTCCACACTTCTTCAATTGGACATGGTTGAGAAGCAGTGGAGTAAAATAAGGCAGCATCCTTATTAACATTCAGAAACAAGGTTCTGCAAGTAATTGCAAGTAAAGAGCCATGGTGGGTGGCGCAGTGGTTCGAACGCAGTGTTGCAGGCTAATTCTGCTCACTGCCAGCAGTTTGATTCTCACCACCTCAAAGTTAACTCAGCCTTCTATCCTTCCAAGGTCAATAAAATGAGGATCCAGATTGTTGGGGTAATATGCTGACATTGTGAACCGCTTAGAGAGGGCTGTAAAGCTCTGTGAAGTGGTATATAAGTCTAAGTGCTGGTGCTATTACTAAAATTTGAATTAATTAAAATCTTTCATACACTCTGCCAGCTTTGCCCAGATTTCCTCTCGATCTTTCGATCTTCAATTGGGCAGAAAAGCCATTTAATGCAGTGGTTAATGTGTTGGACTAAGATTGGGAAGACTCCAGTTCCGTGTGCCATTAGCCATGGAAGCGTTGGACTAGTCCCTCTTTCTGAGCTCAACCTATCTCACAGGCAGCAGCAACTAAAAGTGGGGCTGAATGACAAAGGCAGCATTGCACCATAAACTCCACCCGTCTTTTGCACACATTGGGACATTGTGTGCAGACCCAAAGGGGCAGGGCTTGTAGAACAATGCTGCTTTCCTAGTTTTATTCAAAGCAGAAAAGCTTCTGTGGAGGTTCACCTTCCAGGCATGGTGTTCTGGGAATAAAATAAGAGGGAACCTCCTCCCTCTGCCTTGAGTTCCCAATCAAAAGATGGAAAATAAAGGTGAATAAGTGTAGCTTGGGGTGGAAAGGAGTCGTCCTTGGTGCTCTCTGAGTTTGGTGGTTTTCTTGCAGACAAACATTATCCAAACTGTTTCCTAATGAAATATCTTTAAGAAAACCACCAAGGTCAAAGAGCACCAAAGACCCCTCAGAGGGGATAATGAAAAAAGAATGGAAATGGCCTGGAAGGGAATATTCGGACGCTGTAACAGAAACATTGTAGGCAGAAGTATGCTTTAAGGCCTGGGAAAGGAAGAGACAGGCTGGTTCCCCTTGAGTCAGTGGAATATATGACAAAGAGAGAAGCTTACTTGCAAACTTCTGTTACTACAGCCTATCTCAATAAAGTTTAGTTATAGTTTTCCTGGGGTGTTGGCTTCTTGATCGGGTCTATCATCTAAAGCAGGAGTGTCAAACTCAAGGCCCGTGGGCTAGATCTGGCCCACAGGGTGCTTAGATTTGGCCTGTGCAGCTGCCCTTAAAACAGAGAAGGACTAGCCCCGCAGTGCCTCTGCCAAAGAAAACGGGCTCCCAATCTCCGTTTTTGGCTGCATCAGCCTCCTGTAACCCTCTGCCAGTGAAAACAGAGCTCATGCAGCCCTCCCGAGCTCTGTTTTCCCTGGCAGAGGGTTGCAGGAGGTTGCCCCAGTCAAAAGCAGAGATTGGGAGCCTGTTTTCTCTGGCAGAGCACTTGGGCTGCCACTGGTGCCCCGATACGAATATCAAGATGGCCACGCCCACCCTGGCTACGCCCACCTCCCTCCCCCCCCCAGGTCAAACACAACCCTTGATGTGGCCCTCAATGAAATCGAGTTTGATATCCCTGTGCTAGAGCTAACAGATAGAAATCCAATGAAAACAATACAATTATTTTCTTCATAAAATGCCTTGGGATTTGGGCTATTCACTCACCATTAGCGAAGGTGACTACCAACCAGATGTTGTCAGAGGCATTGACAAATGAGTCAAAGACACACTTTGGCCATTCCAAAGAGAAAGTACTAACGGTGATTTTTCCTGCCATGTTCAGGTCTGAGACTCGAGGAGTATAAGGGACCACCTCTGAAAATACATCGAGAAGTCATCAACATCAATAAATAAAACAAATAAAACAAATAAACAACAACAAATGAAAACAACATTCTGGTGTTTTTTCTTCCAGCTTTCTGGACCAAGAGTGAACACTGCCTGTACCCCTTGACCTGACACCGCGAGAGCCTCTGCAGTTAGGAATAAAAGACAAAAAAGCAGGACGTTTTCAGGACCTCTTTTGATGACGTGGGCATGTTATCTCTGTTCCTTTGAAACTTTAATAAACAAACAATATATACCCTACATGACCTATAAAAGTTGCTATCCTGAAAAAAGTAATTGCAGTTTTTTTTTTCTCTAAATATGGCGCATGGCTTTCAGAGAGGGGGGTACATGTAGTGTTTTCCCACACTACACAATGACAGAAGGTGTCTGCCTTTTATTTGGGGCCCACTGTACCATTAGAGAAGGTGGGAAAACAACCGTCCTAGAACAGAAATGAGAAGGAAAGTGGAGATGGTGAGGGATCAGATGATGTATCTCATGTCCTGCTTTGTGTATCCTAAGCTAGCTTAGTCACCTGAAGTTCAACAACTAATTCCCACAACTCTGTCAACTTATTAAATAAGACTGTATTACTATTATTCCTCTACTGCTAGATTCTAATAATACTTCCTAGTACTTATTTATCTCTTCCCATTTATGACTATAAACATATTGCTTGTATCTTTACAATTTATAATGTTTTGTTTATTTCCTAGTATGATTTGATTGCTTATTAGTAATCCATGACTATCACTAAGTGTTGTATCTTATGATTCTTGACAAATGTATTTTTTTCCCTTTATGTACACTGAGAGCCTATGCACCAAAGACAAATTCCTTGTGTGTCCAATCACACTTGACCAATAAACTATTCTATTCTATTCTATTCTATTCTATTCTATTCTATTCTATTCTATTCTATTCTATTCTATTCTATTCTGACGTTGGATTAAGACATGATCATCTGCCTGCTTGGCTTCCATAAGCTCTTCTTATGAGTGTCAGAAGGTAAGAAAGACAGGTCCTCTCTTGTTTTCATATTCAAGAATGGATCAAAAAGATATGGATGTGTAGAGCTGCACCTTAATATAAATCGTGGTCAACATTTCTGACTCAAAGAGCCACCGTGGACCATCCCTTTATGCCTTCTTTCAGTAGAAAAGCCATTCCTCAGGAGGACCCTGGGGCGGGAAGGAAAGAACACCGTATCCCGTTTCTTTCAGTGGTAGTGCTCCCCATAGCCTGTCAATCAGAAAGGCTGTCGGGGAGCTCCCTATTAGAGGAAAAAATTGTCTATCTATTACAGAGGCCCCAAAACATAACTGCCTGAGGAATTCTGGGAGTTGAAGTCCACAAGTCTTAAAGTTGCCAAGTTTGGGGACCCCTGATCTATTACGTATGCATCGTAAACATAGATATTTTTTTTAGTTTTAAGAAAGGTGTGCCCTAACCCAAACCTTCTCTTTAATTCTGGAATGACATTCAATACACATTACCATTATATACCATCCAGTATATAACAGAATAACAGAGCTGGAAGGTACCTTGGAGATCTTCTAGTCTAACCTTCTGCTCAAGCAGGAAACTCTATGCCATTTCAGATAAATGACTGTCTGATCTCTCCTTTAAAACCTCCAGTTGTTAGAGTACCTGCAACTTTCAAAGGTAAGCTGTTCCACTGATTAATTATCTATCCACTATCAAGAATTTCTCTAGATCGCTTTTCTCCTTGTATCAATTCTGAGCATTGAAAATTCCTAACAGTGAGAACAATCAGCAAGTGGAACAGCTTGCAAGCAGACATTGTGGGTGTTCCATCACTGGAGGTTTTTAAGAAGAGAAACTGGACAGCCACTTTTCTGAAATGGTATAGGGTCTCCTGCTTGGGCAGGGGGCTGGACTAGAAGACCTCCAAGGTCCCTTCCAGCTCAATTCTGATTCTGATACTGTTCAATCTTATAGCATCCCTTGGACTGACTGATTACATTATTGGAGTCTCCACTTGAATACCCACCCACCTTCCCTTCTTCCAGCATCTAAGAGGATTAAGCCAACCGTCTCACCTACCCAGAGTTGACATTGAAGTAGAATGTCATTTGGAAATGAAAGCAGAGCTGATCTTCCACACATTTCTCCAAATTCATTTTATACTATTGACATTTGTATTTAAGCACAACCCCCACTTAACCATGACAAGTAAAAGCCTAAGCTAGGTTAGTATAGTCCAAGCCCAGCCTGCTTTTTTTTTTCATTTATGGATGGATGTATTTGTGAATGCAGAAATTAGATTAATTCAGGAAGCAGATTCAGCACATTATGTAAAGGTAGCCACCCAGTTTTTGCTTGTACTTAGTTACTTAGCCCAGATTATTGAAGATTATTCCTTTTTTTTTAACTATCTCATCACAAAAGATTACTGCCAAACATTTACATCTAAGTGTCTGCTAATGCCCAGAGCAAAAGAAACAGGATCTTTATCCTGGAAGGTTTAATTCAAAATGGTAGTTGATACTCTTAATTTAGGAAAGGACACCAATGATTGAAAGAGAAGCAAGGAAAGAGACATTTTAAGCAATCTTTCCCAAGCCCTCCTACAGATACAGTAAGTGAGACGATACTCGCATCATTTCCAATAAGACAAATAACGATATGAGTTCTATTTGAACGTACTTGGAAGATACCAGGTTGGGAAAGATTGCATCATCAGCTCATTGAGATAGATCTTTCCTTTCATCAGAGTACCGAAAAGTATTGAGTTGCTCAAAATCACCCCCTTCAAGTATAATTTTATAATTCTATAAAATAATAATCACCTAAAGCCGTGGTCTTGCAAGTAAGTAGGAACAGAAGTAGAAGGGAAGCAGCCATTGTTAGGAAAGTTGGTTAATTCTTCTCAAGAACTTTCTTCATGCTACGATAGAAGATGTTCCAAGCTGACAAAAGGATGTTCCTCAGAGTCCAAGGTGCAAATGAAGACAAAGTCAGTAAGGAAAAACATCCTTTTCTACTCTCCTGGCCAATTCCTTATCACATTGTCTTCAGCAACTGCCCCTGTACCACCCTTTGCCAACTTTCCACATTCTTCCCTTCCCTTGTAAGGATCTTGACCTCTGATAACAAACAAGTTTGTCTTGTTCTTTCTCAAGAGAATAGAAAACAGCCGCTAACTGGACAATTTAAGTGGGCATCACGGGGCTGGAGAATGAGGAGACATGACACCAAAAGATAAAAAGAAAGATAGGTAAGGCAGAAAATATCAGTAATATCAAGTATGGTTCAGTAGTTAGACTATGGGATTAAGACCATGGTGACTCAGATTCAAATTTTCACTCATTCACACAATTATGAATGAGGAGCACTGCCACGCATTTGGTTCAACCAAGTGAAAATAAGTATAGGTAGACCTCACTTAGCAACCGCATTTGAACCAGCAAATCTGTTGCTAAGTACCACAGTTACTAAACAGAAAACCATATGACCTCGATGGGCTTACGCATCATTTCCCTTGAAGTGATTAAGTGAATCAGCCTAGTTATTAATTAAAACCATGGGACTGCGATTTACAATATGACTTCTGTCTTCTCTATTATCTCTGTTTATTGCAAGCCAGTTGTGAAGCACACAAATGGCGATCACAGGACTGCAAGGTGCTGCAACAATGCAAGACCTGGTGGTCATGAAGCTATTTTCTTACATCACCATCAAAATGTTAAATAGTCATTAAATGAGGCAGTTTTACCTTAGTTTTTTGTCATTGCACCTTGTATAACAAAATTAATTTAAGTTGGTAAGCGAGGACTACTGTACAGAAAATTTCTCCTTATTTCCAGGTTGAATCTCTCCTTGATCAGCTTCCATCCATTATTCCTTGTCTGGCCTTCAGGTGCTTTGGAAAATAGCTTGACCCCTTCCTCTCTGTGGCAGCCCCTCAGATATTGGAACACTGCTATCATGTCTCCCCTGGTCCTTCTCTTCACTAGACTAGCCATGCCCAGTTCCTGTAACCGTTCTTCATATGTTTTAGTTTCCAGTCCCCTAATCATCCTAGTTGCTCTTCTCTGCACTTTTTTTTTTATATAATAATCTTTCTTATATAATCCTTAACATGATTTTATCCCATGCTGTATATTGCTGTTATTAAAATCAGGGCTCTATTCCATTGGAGAATAATTATCTCTAAATTAACTAAACTATAGTTTTTAACATTTTTTGCATGAAAGAAAAATTTTTCTTTGATTAAGGAGTAATCTTTGACTACTTATTCAATTACTCAAATCAATCAATCAATCAAATGTCAAAAAAATTGATTCAATAAATCCTTGATTTCAGCTACATAATTTTGTTGTACTGTACTTTGGAAAGCAAACCTTCAGAAAATGTACCTTGGAGAGTGCGGAAATACTGTAAATACTTGTAAATTTTTTAAGTTTCTGGGCAACCACAGGAAGGCATGGTTGCTTTATTGAGTAGCTGATGGTGTTAGATTTGCACTCATATCGAAACATAGAATGATAGGGCTGGAAGCAGGGGAGGGATTCAAAATTTTTAACAACCGGTTCTGTGGGCGTGGCTTAGGCGGTGGGCATGGCTTAGGGGGTCATGTGATTGGGTGGACATGGCTTGGTGGTCATGTTATTAGCTGGGTGTGGCCAACTCAATATCACTCACATCGAGGCAGGCATCTCCTCGCCTGGCCTCTCATGACTGTGGAGATGCTGCAACAGTTGTAAGTGTGAAAAATGGTCACAAGTCACTTTTTTCAGTGCCATTTAAATGGTCCCTCTACACAAGCAAAGTACCAGCAAAGGAGGGGAAAAAAACTCCAGAGAAGTTCTTGAGACAGAACTCTAGTCCTGCCAAGAATGTAATAAGGATTATCAGAGAAGCAGTCTATAAGCAACACCAGAATGTTTCCTTCTTGCCCTCCTTACAGGATTAGGCCAGTAATTTCTTCTAACAACCAGTTCTCCAAACTGCTTAGAATGTTAACAACTGGTTCTAGCGAATAGGTGTGAACTGGCAGAATCCCATCCCTGATTGGAAGGGATCTTTGAGGTCTTCTAGTCCTACTGCCCAAGGCAGGAGTCCTCATACCATCCTGGACAAATGATTGTCCAATCCTTTCTGGAAAACTTCCAGGGATTGATCACCCAAAGACAAGCTTCTCCATTGCTTATTGGGTCTACTTTGTGTCAGTAAGAGATGTGAC